CCTTGCTTTACATCCGCGACGCTCACGTCGCGTGTGTCCTTTACAGGTAAGTTCTCTGGATCCCAGCAATAGCTGCCGAACTGCTGCAGCGGCCTAATTGATGGGAATGCCTCTGCTTGGGCCACACAGGCTGTCTCCCGGCTGCGCCCCCTCTCTGCCCATCCCACACGTCTCCCTACAAAGGCCGCAGACCACGTCCAAAGAAAACAGGCCGCCAGCAACAGGGAACGGATCCGCATCAAGGGAGTTCAAGGGAGGCCCTGGAAGTGCCTTCTCTGGCTTTGTGCAAAAGCCCAAGAGGCGAATATGGGCTACTCTACTCAGCTGGCTCGCATCTACTTGGATACGCAGGTTCTGAGCCAAAGAAACTGCACCCAGTCGTTGGCCCAGGGTTGACAACTGCTGCAAAAGCACTGCAAGGCCCATCCTCGACAATGGGAGGCTTCGGAGGCATAGTGGCCGGAGCCCGCATCCTAAAGAGGCAACAAAGGCACTCTCTCAAAAAAGAGGGAAGGAACCAGACATCAGATGAGCTGAGACTTGGCCAGTGACAAGTGGTTGGCCAGTCCAGGCGGGCCACGGCGGCTGAATTTCCTGACTCTTCTTCGTTGCACCAGGAAGGGCCGCGGGCCCTTACAACCCCATTACCACCCCCCCACCCCCTCCCCCCTGCGGCCGTGCGGCGACAGCACTACCTGCATCCATGGGCTGAGGGCCCTCGGAGCAGGCCCGGAGATGGACTGCGAGGCCTCACCGGTCACGAATGGCAAGCCGCCAAGGGGAGTGTAGCTCCAAGTCTGCCAGCATGGACACCAAGCAGTGAGAGACCATGTCAGCCCATGCGTCCAAAAGAGATGACAGCTTCGCATCTCACGAGCACAGACGTCCAAACGCAACAACTCACATGTCAACACATCCAACAGCGACAGTTTCGAGTTTGAGTGTGAAAAATGAAGACATGAAAGCTTCTCAGCTTTCAGCCCACAGTTGACAAAGATCGCGCGCAGCATTCCATACCATGCGGATGGACTCGGACTCACACATGTCCTGACAAGTCAGGAGAAGTCAAGCCCAGGCCTTAAGCATCCTTTAGATCGCCTGAACAGCACGACTTCATTTTTCCCGTGCCCCGTGCCTCGACCTCTGATCCCAAAGCAGCCACCTTCTGGCATCCTTGGAGTCCTTGGGGCTCAATGCGGCGTCACCAGATGTCACCAGATGTCACCAGACGTTACCCCATGTCAATCCATGTCACCCCACGCCTCCCAGAGGAAGCTTCTCATTGCCAACAACCTGGCAGATGAACAGACTGACAAAGAGCGCGGCCCTCGCGCAGCAGCGCACGTTCGACCTGCGCTCGCGTTGAAAACTGGGGCCTTGGTCGTGTCTGGAGCAAGCGGAGCTTGGTTCAGCCTGCAGGTGAAACTTGCCACACCATGCCACTGCCTGTCACTCCAAGCTTTCCCTTGCTTCGCCTTTCCGCTCTTGACCCGCGCGGGTCGACATTCTCCTTCGGCGTTGCAGCACATTGAAGATGACGACCATGCCATGCTGTCCTAATATCCATGCGCAAGAAGAAAGCACATTCTTTGAATGTCCCAAACCTTTGTAAAACATTAAGGGGGATCTGCCTTTAGTGATGCGCGGACCTTCTGGCTCTCCTGCGCACCTGCTCGAAAGTCTCACAAGAAAGCGAGGGGGTTTACGCCGTGCAGCTGCACAGCGAGGGCGCCTCCCCTCCGCTTCTCCTTTTTCTGCGTCGGCTGAGCCTGAGGGAGTGAGTGCACGCCAGGATTTCGCACTGCTGGACAGCTTCGAGCTTTTTGTGCTTCTTATTGCGGCTACTCGCATAGATTCTGGATACAGTATGCACCACTCTTTGCGTCCTACCTTCGGAGCCTCGAGTGGCTGGCCATCGTAAGAGCGTTCGGCAAGGCCTGACAAAAAAAACACGAAACGCCCATTGAACCTCCTCTAACCCTAGCACGCCATGCAGCACGTGAGCCCTTGGCCGATGGTGTTGCTTAGGTCGACGAGCGCCATGAACCTTGCTGAGAAGGCTGCTGCCAGGTTAGCAGCTTCCGACCCTCCCACACAGACCCAGCAGCAGACCAAAACCCTGCTCGGCTGCCCCGACTGCTCGAACTGGGCTCCAAGCTTGCCTTGATCAGCAATGGATGTACGGCAATCTCTGCCGTCTGGATGCTATGTTTGTGCTATGTAAGCGTCCCAACAGAGGGTGCTGGTGGTAGCAATGATAACCATGACACAGAAGAGCCATACTAGCGAAAGTGTGAGCTCCAACAGCTCTTGAACTTGCAGACGATGGCTCGCATGCGCACAGCTTTGTGGCTGAAAGCTGCGGGATGGCCGTGGGGTCACACAGGGCACGCTGAAGCTGTGGATCAGGCTAGGCTAGGCTCAACTAGGCGCTCAGGTTACTTCACAGAGCCCTTTAGATTTGGCGCCTTTGCATGACTTCAAGGCCCCGCTCACTATGCTGCAAGCGGCCCCAGGGAAGCCGCGGACGGCGCCGCACCCTTCTCACACATGCCGCACGTCTCGGGACCTCGGCTCACAAAGCACCAGATCCTCAGGTGAACCAAATTTAGACTCGGCCCCCTAACAAGGCACGGCCCGATGCAAAAAAAAGGGTTTTGTGCAATTCGGCTTGGGGACACGTCTTCTGGAGCTGCCAGAACCATGGCAGAGAAATCTCATGATGCTGACTCTTGTGGCACTCGCCTTGTAAATCGCTGCACTGATAAGTGTCCAGAAAAAAATCCAGCTCGCCAGCTGTGTACGTCGTGAACTTGGGATGTGTGCAAAGGGCCCGCAGGACGGAGAAGAAAACGTCCTGATCCCGGCAGTCCTCGTTCTTATTCCTAAAGAAATCGTCAGGCCCCGTCATCTTTGCCCTCTCGAAGTACTGCAGGCTCTTCTCAGGGCATGCAACGTCCGCGGCTGCCCAGACGTTCTCCGCCTTGCATTTTGGGTGGAAGCCGGCGACCATGGCATCCAGGGTTGAGTTGGCCCCGAAGTACTCAGACGGGAAACCTGCCCGCAGCTTCACCATCTCGAACTGCGCGGCGTAGAAGCAGCGCAGCTCTTCCTTGTCATGGCGCCCCGGCTCCAGCGGATCCACATGCGCGAAAACCGGAATATTGGTGACAGGGTGCAGCATGTAGGTGAAAGTCACATCCTGCAAAGCGGTCTCAAGGCAAGCATCTATAATCACTCTACAACTAGTCCACTTAATTGCATGTGACGCCAGGCGCACAAACTGCTTTCCAAGCCGCATGCCCGCACACGGCATCGAGAGCTTCGCGTGCGTCGGTGGCCACGGGGCCCAGATAGAAGACCCAGCCGCCCACAAGGATTGCAGCGATGTAGACTACACGGAAGAGCGCGTAAAAGCTTTGCAACGACAAGCTGAGGCCACGCTTGGTCTCTGGTGGCAAGAGGCCACTGAAGTCTAATCGGCCCTCGCGGAGCTCGTTTGGCAGGAGAGTGTGGTGGCGCGAGACATAGATCTGAATGGCCATGTTGCTTACCATTGCTGCCATCCGCCGCGGGACGAGTGCTTCAAAGAGGAGCTCATCAACATTCTTGACAAACTCGAGCGCAACTGCGTTGAGGAGGAGGTCATCAATGTTGATGGTACCCGCTAGGTAGATGAGTCCGTACCACAAGAGGAACACTGCTATCAGGGTCCTTGGTAAGATCACCATGAGGACTGCCAAGGCTTTTTGCACTCTCTTTACCCCTGTAATGATGTAACGGCCTTGTCGGAGCTCGTACTGCATCGCCTCCGTCCGCGGAAGGGAGACCACCACTAATCCCATGTCATGCACGGTGCGTCGCAGTTCTGTGGCCATGCTTGTCACCCATACGAACATGGCCAGCATGCAGATCATGTCTCCAGACAGTTTGCCGAAGGCTCCGCCGCGATTCGTGTACTCTGACAGCCAATGCGTCGTGTCTGCCATCTCATTATACAGCTTCTCACTACAAATCTGTTGAGTTTGCGTTATCAGATCCTTGCGGTCAAAGTTGGAGTAGGCCTGACCATCTCGTATGCGCTGCTCGCGCAAGACGTTCTTCAAGGTTCCAAGTGGGTTCGGCTCAGCGAGCGAGTTCACCGCGAGAATAAGACCGACCTGAATTGCAACATTCGTCAGCAAGAGGCTGGTTGCCAGGAAAGCATTGAAGTTCCCAACCACTTGTCGCGCCCGGTCCCGGGAATGGAGCATGACGATCAGCGCAGCATCCCAGATGGAATGCTGAAAGTCAATGACCTCGAGCCCAAGGAATGGCGTCGCCTGGAGGTTATCGTGACGAATGTGCCGCACCGGCTCAGATCCTGGGATGTACCCAAGATCGTCATCCTCCGAGTCGTCGACTTGATCCCTTTGATCTTTGTACACCTGACCCATGGGCCCCATTGGCCCGAGTGGCCCCATTGGCCCCATGTCCGTTGCGATCGGCAGTTTGAAGCTGGGCTCGGGGATAGGTTCCGGGGTACTGAGCCCGAGGTACTCTGTCCATGACTGGTTCGCCTCTTGCTGTGGGCTCGGGCCCCGACCCAAAAGCTCATGGCACTGGGCGCGAAGTGAGGCCAGTTCCTGATATATTGTTGCATTTTCGTGCACGATGGCTTGCCGCACCAAAGCCTGGACGTTTCCAGGCGTTCGCCGATCGGATCCATCTGCACCCATGCGACGCGCAGAGTTCTCAATTTCTGCCCTCAACAACTCGACTTCCATCCGGAGAGATGGAATCTCGCTCACAACCCTCTGCAGCCGTTGAACTTCTGCTTGCACTGCTGCAAGCTGCTGCATGGCCATGGCTTTGCATGAGGCCAACGGCGCTTCTTGAGCGTTCGAGAGCTCTTAAGGGATTTCGAGTCCACTGCTGCCCTACTCCTTACGGACACACCAGCACAACAAAGCATGAGAAGCAAAAACATGCAAGCACGAAGCTGCATCAACCAAGCTCTCCTTCTGCAGCTGCTGAAACAAGGAGCCATCATCCTTCGCGGCAGATCTTCTGCTTCTTAAGCGCTCGTCACGCCTGGGAGGGTGCTGATGGTAGGCACCGGCCTGGTGCGTGCAAAGGAAGCCTGGGAAGTAGAAGGCGTCCTCGAAGGAGCTTCGCAGCTCTGCCTGCAGCTGTGGCCCTTTCAGCCCGCTTGGTCCGAAAGCTCAAACAGCAAGGCAAACAAAGTCATTCTTATTGAAGGGGTGGCACGACATTCTTTGGAGCAAATTTTGCCCGCTCAGAAAAAGGGGGCGCAACACCCCTTGGCAAACACGAGATAATGAGCAAATGTCGACTGATGGCACGACATTCTTTGAACAAGCTTGCACAGGGTTACAAGAGCACGGGGCGTCGGGGGGGGGGGGCCACCCGCAATCCTCCGCCCATGTGCGAACACACTGCTCGTGGATGATTGCTTTGGAAAGGATTCCTATGGCTTTGAAGAAATCACAGAATTCCTGGAAGCCAAGTTCGCACGGCTTCAGGGGCCCGAAGCACCAGGGCACCAAGGCTCCATGAGACCACCGGACTGGGGCCCAGGAGCCCGGGCGGCCCAAAAAAAGGGAGCCAAAAAAGGGGTAGGAGAACACGCCTTCCTTCCAAGACTACAGAACTCGACCTGCTTTTTCCAAACGTGCAAAGTATGCCAAGATATGCCAATGGCAAAAAGTGTGTCAAAGACAAAGAAGGAGGAGATCTCAGGTCCACGCAGGAACATGATCGTGGAAGCAATTGGCAGGCCCCGGCATCAGCTTCAGCGTCCACCACAAGGCCTATGACCTGTTAAGGGTTTGGGGTTTGGGGTTTAGGGTTTAGGGCCTAGGGTTCAGGGCTTGGGGCATCCCATCGTGGGAATCACATTGGGAGACCAAGACCCCAAACTAGGACTTCAAAGTTTGGTCTGCAGGAATTTTCTACAATAGAGACCCTCACAAGGGGCCCATGATCCAGATCAACCTCTATCTTCCCACGGCAACTGGCACCTTTCGGCAGCGGCCGAAGCAGACGCGCAAAGCGATAACTGCGGCAACTGACTGTCTACATCAGCTACCAAAACCCGGTCGACACCATGCACACGTCCACATGTCGTAGTTTGCCTCTCTCTGCATGATTGCTTCTATCCGCGACACTTGCCTGTTGAATCGTGCTGCTTTGGGTTAGTCATAAATTATAAAGCTAAGTGCCTGTTTCAGGAGCTTGAATAGTTGCCTGCGTAAGATATGAAATACTGCTCTGCTTGAGCCAAACAAGCTTACATCAAACTTATCACATCGCAATCAGAGTGGGGCCATCCGCCACCGACCTGAAGATGCACAAAGCAGTTGAGACTCCTGATCACTTCGCACATCTTCTCATCTCTCTGGACCTGTTCAGACTCCGCCCGCTGGCAAGGCCTTACCTGGCCTGAACGGTGAGACTCGGAGAACCCAGCAAGCTGTGGCCGCGATGTGCCGCGATGTGCCGCGATCTCGAGGGGGTCCACGGGTGTCGTTCTGAAAGCGGGTCACGAGGGGTCACGAGGCCTCGGCCACGGTGGCCTTGGCTGTTGCCCAGTCCGGTGCCTGGGACGTCAAAGGGCAACGATCCTGAAACAGCCACTGTGCGGGTTTGCGATACTCAGGGGCCCCTAATTTTTGACCCCCACATAGTAGGATCATCCCTGTATAATAAGGACACCAATGAGGTACGCCCCAGTATCGTAACCCCCCCCATGTGGCAGCACACGGGCCTGGGAGGTGAACGCCGCGCCGTCTGGCAGGGCGTAGGTCAGGGCATGAAGGAAGATGCCACCTTGGCACTTAAGTGCGGACCTGGGGGTTTCCGAAAATTAGGGGTGTCCTTCTTAGCAATGGGGTTCCCCCATGGCAAGGATTGTACTATTTCTTGGGAGTATATTTAGGAATATTAAGGGTGCCCCTTTGGGAAGTGCCCATCTAGTTCTCGCACAGACTCTGGCCAAGCGCTCGAGCATCTCGCTTTTTTGAGAGCCCAAGGCTCCAAGACAAAAAGACACAGTTAGGAAAGACCTCGCCAGAAACGACTCGAAACATGAAAAGTCTGGTAAAAGTTATGGACGCGCCTCGCGCTCCCGAAAAATACAAGTAACATCATGCAACCAATGACAGCGCCACGGTCTTCCTAAGTCTGCGAACCGCCAACCCACTGAAACAACAAACGGCCGATGTCTGTCTGGCTATCAAACGCATGAACGCCGGGATCAAGCGTGGCCATTCAATGATGGCACCAAGGTCTTCCTAAGTCTGTGAACGGCTGCCCAACTCAACAGACAGTCGATGTCTGGCTCAGAATCGCATGTCCTCTCGGATCATGCGTGGCCAATCTAGACCTCCAAGTCGGCCGGCACACGGCATGGAGTTCAAGCCATGGTCGGTACAAGGGAAGGTCTATCAAGCGCCCCGACATGCCCGGAAGATGCCAGCGACGCTACAAAGCCTGAAGCCAATGATGGCACCAAGGTCTTCCTAAGTCTGTGAACGGCTGCCCAACTCAACAGACAGTCGATGTCTGGCTCAGAATCGCATGTCCTCTCGGATCATGCGTGGGCAATCTAGACCTCCAAGTCGGCCGGCACACGGCATGGAGTTCAAGCCATGGTCGGTACAAGGGAAGGTCTATCAAGCGCCCCGAAATGCCCGGATGATGCCAGCGACGCCACAAAGCCTGAAGCCAATGATGGCACCAAGGTCTTCCTAAGTCTGTGAACGGCTGCCCAACTCAACAGACAGTCGATGTCTGGCTCAGAATCGCATGTCCTCTCGGATCATGCGTGGCCAATCTAGACCTCCAAGTCGGCCGGCACACGGCATGGAGTTCAAGCCATGGTCTATCAAGCGCCCCGAAATGCCCGGATGATGCCAGCGACGCTACAAAGCCTGAAGCCAATGATGGCACCAAGGTCTTCCTAAGTCTGTGAACGGCTGCCCAACTCAACAGACAGTCGATGTCTGGCTCAGAATCGCATGTCCTCTCGGATCATGCGTGCCAATCTAGACCTCCAAGTCGGCCGGCACACGGCATGGAGTTCAAGCCATGGTCGGTACAAGGGAAGGTCTATCAAGCGCCCCGAAATGCCCGGAAGATGCCAGCGACGCTACAAAGCCTGAAGCCAATGATGGCACCAAGGTCTTCCTAAGTCTGTGAACGGCTGCCCAACTCAACAGACAGTCGATGTCTGGCTCAGAATCGCATGTCCTCTCGGATCATGCGTGGCCAATCTAGACCTCCAAGTCGGCCGGCACACGGCATGGAGTTCAAGCCATGGTCGGTACAAGGGAAGGTCTATCAAGCGCCCCGAAATGCCCGGAAGATGCCAGCGACGCTACAAAGCCTGAAGCCAATGATGGCACCAAGGTCTTCCTAAGTCTGTGAACGGCTGCCCAACTCAACAGACAGTCGATGTCTGGCTCAGAATCGCATGTCCTCTCGGATCATGCGTGGCCAATCTAGACCTCCAAGTCGGCCGGCACACGGCATGGAGTTCAAGCCATGGTCGGTACAAGGGAAGGTCTATCAAGCGCCCCGAAATGCCCGGAAGATGCCAGCGACGCCACAAAGCCTGAAGCCAATGATGGCACCAAGGTCTTCCTAAGTCTGTGAACGGCTGCCCAACTCAACAGACAGTCGATGTCTGGCTCAGAATCGCATGTCCTCTCGGATCATGCGTGGCAATCTAGACCTCCAAGTCGGCCGGCACACGGCATGGAGTTCAAGCCATGGTCGGTACAAGGGAAGGTCTATCAAGCGCCCCGAAATGCCCGGAAGATGCCAGCGACGCCACAAAGCCTGAAGCCAATGATGGCACCAAGGTCTTCCTAAGTCTGTGAACGGCTGCCCAACTCAACAGACAGTCGATGTCTGGCTCAGAATCGCATGTCCTCTCGGATCATGCGTGGCCAATCTAGACCTCCAAGTCGGCCGGCACACGGCATGGAGTTCAAGCCATGGTCGGTACAAGGGAAGGTCTATCAAGCGCCCCGAAATGCCCGGAAGATGCCAGCGACGCTACAAAGCCTGAAGCCAATGATGGCACCAAGGTCTTCCTAAGTCTGTGAACGGCTGCCCAACTCAACAGACAGTCGATGTCTGGCTCAGAATCGCATGTCCTCTCGGATCATGCGTGGCCAATCTAGACCTCCAAGTCGGCCGGCACACGGCATGGAGTTCAAGCCATGGTCGGTACAAGGGAAGGTCTATCAAGCGCCCCGAAATGCCCGGAAGATGCCAGCGACGCCACAAAGCCTGAAGCCAATGATGGCACCAAGGTCTTCCTAAGTCTGTGAACGGCTGCCCAACTCAACAGACAGTCGATGTCTGGCTCAGAATCGCATGTCCTCTCGGATCATGCGTGGCCAATCTAGACCTCCAAGTCGGCCGGCACACGCATGGAGTTCAAGCCATGGTCGGTACAAGGGAAGGTCTATCAAGCGCCCCGAAATGCCCGGAAGATGCCAGCGACGCCACAAAGCCTGAAGCCAATGATGGCACCAAGGTCTTCCTAAGTCTGTGAACGGCTGCCCAACTCAACAGACAGTCGATGTCTGGCTCAGAATCGCATGTCCTCTCGGATCATGCGTGGCCAATCTAGACCTCCAAGTCGGCCGGCACACAGCATGGAGTTCAAGCCATGGTCGGTACAAGGGAAGGTCTATCAAGCACCCCGAAATGCCCGGAAGATGCCAGCGACGCCACAAAGCCTGAAGCCAATGATGGGACCAAGGTCTTCCTAAGTCTGTGAACGGCTGCCCAACTCAACAGACAGTCGATGTCTGGCTCAGAATCGCATGTCCTCTCGAATCATGCGTGGCCAATCTAGACCTCCAAGTCGGCCGGCACACGGCATGGAATTCAAGCCATGGTCGGTACAAGGGAAGGTCTATCAAGCACCCCGAAATGCCCGGAAGATGCCAGCGACGCTACAAAGCCTGAAGCCAATGATGGCACCAAGGTCTTCCTAAGTCTGTGAACGGCTGCCCAACTCAACAGACAGTCGATGTCTGGCTCAGAATCGCATGTCCTCTCGGATCATGCGTGGCCAATCTAGACCTCCAAGTCGGCCGGCACACGGCATGGAGTTCAAGCCATGGTCGGTACAAGGGAAGGTCTATCAAGCGCCCCGAAATGCCCGGATGATGCCAGCGACGCCACAAAGCCTGAAGCCAATGATGGCACCAAGGTCTTCCTAAGTCTGTGAACGGCTGCCCAACTCAACAGACAGTCGATGTCTGGCTCAGAATCGCATGTCCTCTCGGATCATGCGTGGCCAATCTAGACCTCCAAGTCGGCCGGCACACGGCATGGAATTCAAGCCATGGTCGGTACAAGGGAAGGTCTATCAAGCACCCCGAAATGCCCGGAAGATGCCAGCGACGCTACAAAGCCTGAAGCCAATGATGGCACCAAGGTCTTCCTAAGTCTGTGAACGGCTGCCCAACTCAACAGACAGTCGATGTCTGGCTCAGAATCGCATGTCCTCTCGGATCATGCGTGGCCAATCTAGACCTCCAAGTCGGCCGGCACACGGCATGGAGTTCAAGCCATGGTCGGTACAAGGGAAGGTCTATCAAGCGCCCCGAAATGCCCGGAAGATGCCAGCGACGCTACAAAGCCTGAAGCCAATGATGGCACCAAGGTCTTCCTAAGTCTGTGAACGGCTGCCCAACTCAACAGACAGTCGATGTCTGGCTCAGAATCGCATGTCCTCTCGGATCATGCGTGGCCAATCTAGACCTCCAAGTCGGCCGGCACACGGCATGGAGTTCAAGCCATGGTCGGTACAAGGGAAGGTCTATCAAGCGCCCCGAAATGCCCGGAAGATGCCAGCGACGCCACAAAGCCTGAAGCCAATGATGGCACCAAGGTCTTCCTAAGTCTGTGAACGGCTGCCCAACTCAACAGACAGTCGATGTCTGGCTCAGAATCGCATGTCCTCTCGGATCATGCGTGGCCAATCGAGACCTCCAAGTCGGCCGGCACACGGCATGGAGTTCAAGCCATGGTCGGTGCAAGGGAAGGGCGTTTAGGCTAACAACAGCAGCTGCTCAAATCAGCACAAGGCTCAGACAACAGACGGGGCGTCTTCCAAAACTGCCGCGGACCGACGAGATGCAACTGCTTCAAGTTTTGAATGTTATCTGACTACGATGGCCACAGTGAGATTATCCACAGTAGAAGTAGAAGCGCCTGCACCAGCAAGGTGTGCAGAGTGGGCATCAGTCAAGCGTTGCGCGCACAGGTGTGCGCGCGACACTCGCACTCGCACTCACACTCACACTCGCACTCGCAATCGCACTCGCACTGACACTCACACTCACACTCACCCCAGCAGCCTGCGGAGTTGCTCTACGAGCAGTCCAGATCAGAGCAAACGCTTCATCCCACAGGTCGCGGGTCAATGGAAATGCTTCTGCTGTGTGATAGGGTATCGGAGCCCTGGCGATGGCATCCAAGTGGCTTGGATGCATTGTTGCCTCACCATGACAGAGAACAAAACATCACGACACCCCCCAAAATCCCACATGGAGCGTTTTCGGAGGGCCTCCTCGGCCTCCTCGGATTGAGCGCACCGAGTGTGCTCTACATGGGCCTCACAGGCCAGGACCCAGAGTGGAACGCGGACACGTCATCGAAAAAGTACCCCCCCTGAGTCGGGGGCCTCTTGTCGAATATGGGGAATCAAAGGCAAAGTGCAGTCCTTGCTGGTGCTTAAGTACGCAGCACCATCCGCACTTGGAACTGAGTGTTGGGGAGCAAGGCCTAGCCCAAACCTTGAAACTTCTTCAAGCCCGGAAAACAAGCCAGGCCGCCCCCTTTCAAGCTTCTAGCAGTCTAATAGGGTTGTTTAAGTTTAGGGGTCAGGTTTTGAGGGCTTTGAGGGTTTAGGGCTTCGGCAGCCGTAGAACCTCCGGCAAAACTGCCAAGTCGCATTTCGGAGCTCACCTCCATAGCAACCTCTGCACAAGCTCGAGGCTTTGGATGTGGGCATTTCCCACAATAGGGGGTACCCCTTCTTTGAACCCCAAATAGCAAAGAATCCCCGTACAAGGGACCTCCAAAAAGGGTACCCCTATGTTCGGAAGCCCCCCATGTCCCAACTGCGGAGCCCTGAGCTCCAGGCTGTCGTTCGCAATGGGAAACCCAAGGTGCAGCAGGTGGACCCCTGGCAGCTCGGCCAACTCTCACCCCCCACAAATCCTACGCACCACCTCATACACGAGCACGGTATGAGCATGAAGCAGCGGGATGTAAAGGGACCAAGTTGAGGCACTGATCTGATGGGTTCTCCCCGTGGCTGGATAGCAACGCACCTCAGCACACTCAGAAGATGGTCAGCGTCTTGAAAAGCGCCCTCGGCTCCGGCCGAGAGGCGTCTGGAACAAACAGGATCTGGTCTCCCTCTCCCTCAGTGTGGATTGTGCCGTCCACGCCCTTCCCCCCCTGGCTGACCTCCCCGCATCTTTGGGAAGCCTTGTTTGGGAACTGTCCCGGAATCCACCCTTTGGTGGACCCTTGCACTTGGAACCGCCCTAAACCCTCGTGAAGCCCCTAGTACCAAATAACTTTGGCATACTTTGGCTTTCCGTCGTTGCAATTCGCACGCTAGACCCCGCGTTGAACCGGCCCCTGCCGAGGCAGCGTCTTGCAGGCGCCGGATCTGATGTGGCCATGGCTGCATGGCGGGATCGGGATGGTGGGGCGTCGGAATCTCGAACGACCAGCCTGCAGCCTCCCTGACCCGGCCCCCCATTGAGGGGTCGCTTCCGGCGGTCCCGTGAAGCTGATGGTGCAGCTGCACACGCCTTTCCACTTTCCCCACTCCTTTCGAAGCCGCTGTGCCCGAGCAAAGACACTGCTGCATCATGAACTTTACTTTCAGGAGTTCGACATGGGGTTTCGCCTCTGATCAGACATCAGGCGCCTTTTCGCACTCTCCAACTGCAGCAATCGAGGCACGCTTGTGTGCTGAACTGTATCTCATGACCTGCTCACCTCCCTCATCGACTCAGCGAGCCACGATGGATTCATCCTCGGAAGCCATGCCGACAAACTCAAACTCCGTGGCAGCATCCTGACCAAAAATGAGCGACCATCCCCTGCGCTTCGGCACTGTTCAATGCCGCAGATGACAAAGGGCAGATTGCAGCAAGCAAGCGGCTCCAAATCAAGCCATGTTTAGATTCGTCTGCTCTGTCGGTGCTCAGCCCTCCTGACCGCGATTCTCAAACAAAGGTTCAAATCCAAAACGAAAACTCAGTGGTGCAAGGCTACAGTAAGTACTGCATTTGAAGCTGAGGCCTTGAAGGCTTAACCAAGAAACGACGGCTGCATTTACAGCTAGACAGTCGGAAGACATGAAGCAGAACCCAACAAAGGGACCCTAGCATTTCATACCAAAGCGGGGGATGAAGGCGCAAGGGTCTTGCCTTGGAATCCTTCTCGGCTTCCTTTGGCGCCTCGGCAGAGAACTCGTACCTGCCGACCTCACACTCGGAGATGAGGAGAATTGAGGAGCATCAACAATGGAGACAGCACACGTTGAAGATCTGCTCGAATAGCGATCGACGCATCATGAACATCTTCCGACGGGCGTTCCCTTCTCTCTTGCTCCCCCTGCCCTGCCCAGCCCCCAATCGGAGCAGGCGCAGAGAAGGAGAGAAGGATAGACGCATGGGGGCAAATCCAGAAAGCAACCCAGCCCCTGCCCTCGGTCCCGAAGCCTTGCGATCGATGCAGCGGATGAAGCCTGCGACCTTGCACCAAAGCCCATGGCAAAACACAGCCCCAATAGGCCCCCTTCCCTGATAGTTCAGGGCGTCACGTGGATGCGGCCATCCTTGCAAGTGGCTCCAACCGGCAGGTCGCCTGCTCAAAGGTCAATGTGGCAAGCTCAGGAGCTTGGTGCTCTGTGATCTGTGCTCTGGGAGTGGGGGCGCCTCCTTTGAGGAGCTGCTCGAAACGACCCTGCACACGAGCCAGATACGTCTTCCGTATCTGGTTGGCAGCAAACCAGGCTCCCACCTCGATAACAGCATGGTAAAAAAACAAGGTCAGAAGTCTCGAGGCCATGTCAGGACACCTTCGGACGGGTGAGGCCAGGCACGATTCCACCTTGAGGGCAGTACTCTTCGAGCTGACTCCTTGGTCTTAGCCTCAGGGCTAAAGCATGCAAAAAGATGCTGCCAGGGCAGGCAGGGGCCAGATGGGATCAAACGTGCACATGCCAAGACATGTGAATCGGTCAAGCGCGCAGGCGCCGTGAAGACCTCAGAGCCGAACCAGCAAAACGAGACCACTGGTCAGGCGGTCCAAACCTAAGTCGCAAGTGAGATCCAAGCACTCAGTCAGCTTTCCATGACGGCAGAACACTGGCCCCCTGATTTCAGTGAGAGCATGTTCGAAAGAAGAAAACACTACTGTATGAGGCCAGCACGGTGGGTCGTGTGCAAAGCCGCATCTGCCTAGAGAGGTGGAGACATGAAACAAGGCAAAATCAGCGAGGCTCTGGCAACCCTGTGTGTGTGTGGGAATGAAGCAGTCGCCTCCACCGTGCCCTGGTTTCGCAAGATAGCGATCAGGGAGTTGAAGCCTCAAAGTTTTCTGGCTTCCCCCCTGTCTGCAACGAAGGGGAAGTAAGATGAAGTAGGCATATGCATCGTAAGCTTGCTGCGGTAGCTGCCACAGGGGTGGATCGGCAACGAGCTTGGCTTGCTCACGACGAGCAGCGCCTCACCACCCGAGTTACAAGCGACAGTCCCCCCCCTCTCGATGGACATCCCCGCAGCCTTCGTCTCTGCGACCACCTGCAAGGAAGGCGCAATGCTGGAGATAATGTTAAGCGTGGACCGGATTAGGGGGTCTCCTCTCTACAAGCGGCAGGGCGCAAGTTTCGGGGTCCCGGGCCTTGATTGGACCACGGTCGAGGACGGGGTTCTCTCGACAACGCACCGCACGATGGACCTCATCTTTCACAGAGGGTGTCGGGGGGGGTGGGGAATACGGCTTTGGAAATTGCAGCTGTTCATTTTGTAGTTCGCTTTCGGACTGCATGGTTATAGGGTTGGGGGCGAGGGGGGTGAACAATGTGTAGGATTGACATGGTTGGCCCAAGCTTCAAAAGTTTAGCCCCTGCAGAGTCCCCCTCTGAGGAGCCAACGATGCGCTGGCCGTCGCGCAAGACATGCCCGGACTTCACAGCCTTCCCATCGACGGTGACTCGCCCAGCTTCGATGGATGCCTGGGTTGGCTGGGTTTGCTGGGTTTGCTGGGCTTGTTGTGTGGCCAATAAAGGATAAAGGACAGTTCTCTGACTCAGGAGCACGTTTCAGGAAGATGGGCCTCGTAGTAGTCCCGAGGAAAGGCCACGAACTCACAAGCACACACCTGGCACTTCAGATTCGCCGTCGAAGCTTCAACACGCATCCGATGCTGGAGAATGTCTAGATGTATATATATATATATATATATATATAGACATAGATATAGATATAGATATAAATATAGATATAGATATAGATATAGATATACACCTCCTTACCCTCAACGCCTCCAACAAGGTCCTGCCGATCCAGCGCTGCCTTGGAGATTGAAAAAAGAAAGCACAAAACCCGGGGGTTACGCATGGTTACGCTTTACGCCGGCCAAGCGGGAGGCTTGACGTGCGTTGTGAAGTCAAAGTCGTATGGCCTGGGCTTGACGACGTGTCGGCGATACTGTGGGAGTTCTGCTGCTTTCAGCCACGGGCTCCACATGCCGGAGTCCTCCCTGCACCCTGTAGGTGACCTGGACACCAAGTCGGGTGAGATACGATGCGATGCGTGACGGGCAAGGTGCCGGCATGTTCCGGACCTGTAGCTGGACCACCAGACAGCCGGCCTGACATCGATGTGTTTGTGGGAAGGATGAAAGGTGGCAAACATGAAAAGTCGAGCCTCGCTTTGTTGGGGGGTTGGGCTCGGTCTTTGCCGTCACCTGATACCGAAGTCATCTCAAGCCTTCAGCCAACCTCTCGTGCTCTTGCTGAGAACAATGCTGTCTTGCCATCGCCTGCACTCTCGCGGCCTGGGTCAGTTCAACTGGACCCGTGAACATGAAAGTCACGAAGTGCATCAAAGGAACTGTCCGCCACCTTCTGCGCACTGTCCTTCATCGTTACAGGAAGACAGCCAAGCAGCTGGGAGATGCTGGGGGGGGGGGACCTCCCTTCTCCGCTCCTGGGAGATCTCGTCCCCTTCAGGCTGACGCTTGGGCATCGTCCGGAATGCATCATGTGAGCTGGTTCCGGCTGTTGGTGTCCTACTGAGTACTTGAGAAAGGCGTCAAACCGAGAACTACTCATCCCAAGCTGCTCTTGATTTTTTATACTTTTGGAAGATACTCCTTTGCTCTAGTGCCTCATGAGGATTGCATCTCGCGAGCTGCACATGCCTGCAGCCATCTTCATCGACGATGGTTAAGTCTGAGATTCTCGTGTCTGCCATCTGAGTCTGGCAAGACTGTGAGCAGGAGCCAACATAACACACATATGAATGTCAGGGAATGGCTGATTGCCCCCCTTTGCTTGTCAATGCGTCGGTGATGGATGGGTGAAAGGCCCTACTAGCAATCGTATGTTGCTGGATTTGTTGTTAGTAGCTTTGTTGTTACGTCTATTCTAGTCGTTGTCGTTGTGTTGAACTACTGATAAACCAACCAGCTAAAGCCTCCCGTGACCTGCCAAGAGAACTTGCAAAGGACAACGACGCAAAGCTCTAAGGAGCTAGTAACCGCATGCCAGTTCCATGCTGCAAACGGCCATCACATTTCCTTTTCTTCTTAAACGCGGTAGTTGGAGCATCAGCTCCACAACATGTCCGGTACCGGCTGCCCTTCCTCATGGTGTTGTCACACCAGCGCTTTGCCATATACCTTACAGCCACCGGCCGGGCCTAGTGACCTAGTGTGCTTCGCAGGTCTCCAGGTTATGAGCTCAACCTGAGCCCCGGGCAACGCAGGATATTGGGTGGCGAGCTGGAGCTGCCTGCCGTGAGGAAAACACTCTCCCAACTTCTGGACCTGTTGTGACATACTGGTGTTCGCGTCCTTGCAAGCCTTGTAAGCACTCGACTCATCACACAGATGAGCTGCGGCTCTCATCGTCGTCCGCCCACGGCCGCCCGCCTAGTAGCAACGCGTGCGCATGCGAAGACTTGCTTGAACTGACAACTGCAAGTTCGAAGAACGAGACTGCACGCTCACTGCAAGGCTGCTCTCACACCAGAAGAAGCATGCAACTTGGCCTTGGAGGGGTTGGCGTTCGACGTCGCGGACGGCGATCCTTCACCAGGGCTCCAAGTCTTCGCGCTCAGATCCATGAAGGATCATGAAGGGCCAGCTCGCAAGCCTCCTGACGGCCGTCAGTTCGTCGAGGCCTGGGATGTAAGCTTGACGGGTGACGAGCGGCAGCAAGTCTTGCGGACCGTTAAGAAAAGAGCTTGTGGTTGTGTATGTGGCCTCACGATAAGGCATGCTTTAGCCGCAACTACAATCATATTAAGTATCTTCACTTCGTTTCCAAATTAGTTCATTGCATTCTCTACCTAGTTTCAATAATGATATGAGCTAAGGTCCCTATAAAATGCTCTTCATACTGGGCCCGTATTATTACTTTCGTTTCGTTCACTTGCTTCGCGCACGAGTATGAATACGGTTCATGCGCGCACTTATAACCGCACTAAATTACTGAGTTCACTCTGTTCTCTTCACCCTGTATCCCTGCACGCGGTACCTCAATATCATGCAGGTGACAGGCGAACGCCCCATAACCACCATGAACTACCTATTGACCCTGGTTTCGTTCATAACACATATGTCGTCGCTATTCGCTGCTCGATGACTTAGCATGCACCACATCATTGACCAAAAACAGACTCAGACAAACAATGTCAAGATGCGGATCCCGCACAGCTCCGCGGTTTCCATTGCCCTCTGCCCTGGCAAGCGCGATGAATTCCCGAAACCTTCTGACAGTTTCATGCATCTCGATTGCCTCGAACGGGGTGGAGGATCTGTGCGACCTGATCATTGCATCCGCTTTCAGACTCACCCTCACCAGCACTCACTACCAATCAAAGTTCGGCAAAAGTCGAGCTGTCAAAGACTTTCAACCACTCAGCCCTGTGGATTCAAGAATCGGGCCTTGGTATTCTTAGCCATTTTTTGTCACTGAGCCCCGGACGGGAGTTGGCATTCGCTGCCTGGCACGTCGCTTCCCTCTTTCAGAACACAGTTGAAATGTCAGCTTGTGCTCCCATGTGCTCCCACGTGCTCCCATGCGATCCTACGTGCTCCTGCAAAAATCGTGGCAGGAGCGCTCCACTTCGCGGAGGGGCATCTCGGTATCCTGAAGAGTCTGAAGACTCCCGCTCGAGCAGATTGCAACGCGCCCTCCCTTTGCCCCAAAAAAATCCCTAAAATAAAAGAAGTAGTTAAAAAGCATTTGAATGAAGGTCGAGGCCAGCGCCTCCACCAGCTGGCCTGCACTTGTTGCAAGCGCGCGCGCGGAATCCCAAAAGAGAAGGCCCGACAAGCTTAGGAACAGCTGATGTGGAACGACATACACCACTCATGCATCCCACCGGATTAGTCTGCACGGCCAGCGTGAGACCGTGCTGGCCTGGGGCTTCTACTTCTGCGACTGGCACCTGGAAGCCGGCTTTGATAGAGGTCGCCCCAGGCTGCTGCTGCATCATACTGTCTCTTGGCTCATACTCTGCATCTGGTGCTTCAGCACGGCACCTGAAGCTGGCGGAGGTGCGCGCGTGTTGCTGGAGGCACGTCTCCTGGAGCTGCACCGTTGCTGTAGATGGAGGACCGAAGGTCAAGGAAGGGCAAGGACGCGCATCGAAGGGCGCCTCGGCGGACCCTCGCCCTCGAGAAAGACGTCGATGGTCCGGTCCTGGCTGACGGATGAAGCAGTCTCTGCCCAAACCACACATCCACCACCTTCAACCCACGAAGCTGTCTGAGCTCCGAACGTTCAACTGGCCACCGTGGAAGCGTCGCACTGCATCTTGCGCATGGCGTGGCCTGATTCGTGCAAGATCACGCGAGTCTGCAGGATTGGTTCCAGCTTGGGGTTCAGGCTCCCTGAAAGTGATTGTGGCGATATCACCACCCACAGAAGCACCTCACAAGGTAACAGAAAGAAAGAAAACATGATGAAGCTTAAAAACTTTGAAAGTCCCACTTCGGCTACTGGGCTCATTGCTCATGACCCGGCCGACGGGATTGAATGCAGCTTCAAGGTCTCGGCCTGAGCATGGGGGAATATTGAATATTGGCCTTTCTGGGCCCCTTCTGTCAGTGACGGCTTTTTGGGATGCTGAGCTTCGTGCGATTGATCCGAAGCCCCTGCAAGTTCGACACTACCTCAGGTGACTCGATACATCTCTGCCTCGCATCAGCGGATGTCCACGGAGGGTACAGCCGGGAGTCTGACAATCGTGCATCCCCTTGCGGCGGCGATGGACAATCATGACGTTACTAGACTGCTCACGCGAGCGCCAGCGACTGCGCACGCAGGAGGCTCGATGCCACTACAATCACTACAAGGAGATCCTGAATAAAACCCGAAGAGCCCTAAAAAAAACCGTTCGAGGAAGCTCTGCATCCCTGCCTCGATGAGCGGCCTGCGAGGGCTTCGATTTGGAGACTTTATAGGGCTCAGGATGGCTTAAAAGGTTTACTTTTTTCGAGTGGCTCTGCTCCAAAACAACAAATGCTCCTTAGAGGGTTCTAGGTTCTAGGTACGGCGCAACAAGACGACAGAAGAGGAGTGAGGATGGCCTCTGTCATCGTCCGGTGGGTCATCGTTCCTGCTTGCTTAAGCAACATTAACACGCACCTGACCTCGGCATGGCCACGCTACCCTCGACTGCCTTCTACGATCTCGGTCGCGTGGCCTTGGTGCTGCGATGTTGCGATGCGGGGTGCACAGCTTGAACTTCCTTGCCGGCAGAAACATCAGGCTCGAACTCCGGGTCTCCTCGACGGTCGCCACCCTTGCACCATCAAGCTTGCCAAGCTTGTGGACGTTGATGGATTGGCTCCAACTGCAGGTCTCTGCACGCTTGGTTCCCAGCACGCCCGTAATCGTCATAGTCCTGCACGCACTGGCACTGTCAGGGACCGACACTTGCGACCACCAGACATCACCACACGTCGCTAGCCCATCTCCTTGCCCCCGTACCCACCACCGCGGCCATATCTGTCGTCATCGCCCCTGACACAATGAAGCATGCGCAGTCAGCTTCGTAAGGTTCTTGCGTTATGGTTCACTGCCCTTGCCTTCCACCATAGGAGGACTTTCCTCCGTCCTTGCTAGTCAGATATGCACGACCTCACAAAGCAGCTTGCCGTTTATATGGTCCGAAGCACATAGCTCTTCCCATACTTGTCATCGTACTTGTCATACTTCCCACCTTGGAGCTCCATGTTGCCAAACCCCAATGCCCACAAGTCCGCTATGCTCAGTGTGCTAAGGGCCTGACCCCCATAGCCACCCCTGGCTTGATATATGTTGCGCTGGCACTGCGGATCAAGCAGATTTGCAACGTAAGAATCATCTGAGTCCAGAGCTTGTCGTACTTGTCGTAGGACTTGTCATACGACTTGTCATACTTGCTGTAGGGCTTGTCATAGGACTTGTCATAGGACTTGTCATACTTGTCATAAGACTTGTCGTACGACTTGCTATCGTAGGACTTGTCGTATGAGGACGTCTTGTCCCAGGTTTTGCCACCGGACCAGTCCCAGGATTTCCCACCTGCACCTCAACAAGGTACATCCAAGGCTACGAAGCTGCATAAGGACAATAGAACCACCGCATGCCACCAGCACTAGCGAGAACGTCTTACGAGTTGATACTGAGCTGCCTCCACTGCCATAAGAATCGCTCCCCTGGCAGTCTGACTGGATGCCAGCCAAGCATGGTGCACAATGCATCCGCACATGTTGCCCTCACGCAAATCTGCACGCCTTCTTCCAGTCACCTCCCCAGTCCTTTCCATCCTTCTTCCAGTCCTTATGCCCAGACCACAGGACTCAAGTATAGTATTCCAAGTTCCTTGCTGGAACTTCAGATGAACCAAGTCATGCGCAGCGGTCTTGGACCCGGAGCCCCACTTGTCCGTGTCCTGGAAGCGACATCTGAGGTCACCGAGCCAGGGCCAACGGTACACCCCCCCATTCCTTTCCCCAACACGTCCTTCTTGTTCCAGCTACCGCTGTCCTCGGATTGGCACGTCAGGCAAAAGCTGTGGCCATGGTGACTGCTGGAGAATTCGGCTTGCTGAATTTCCGCGCAATCCCCAGCAAAGGCAAAGGGAGAAAAAAATGCACGCGCTAAAGCCCCCCCCTCCGACCTGCCCGAACCGCTCGGAGGAGCCGCAATCCGATGCGGAGGGGTTTCCACTAAAACCCCCCTCCTTCAAAGAACCCCCCCTCCAAGCCCTCCTACCTCCTGAACTAATGATGTGCATGGTGCTGAACCAAGCGACACAGGACTTGGCTTTTTTTCGTCTGCACCCCACCATGTTGGGCGGGCCCATCAGCCGCGGCGGCGGCGCGCGCAAGCGCTTAAAGCTTACAAACAACAACATCTCTGCCATCAAGGATACACGGCGCTAAGTTCCCGAGCCTTCCAGTCATCGGTCTTGGCCGCACCTTTCCAGTCCTGTTCATCTTCCGACTGCAGCGAGGAGTGTAAGCCTCTCAAACACAAGAAGGTGGAGGTCCTTCGTGTCACCCTTGTCCTCGTTGACAGCAAAAACACACTACTTGGTCGATGAAAAGGGCACTCGGTGATCTTACTGCATGTTACTGATTGCCCATCACAGCTAGCACAGGCAACTCCTTCCAGTTGTCGTCTTTGGACCAACTTTGCTTCCAGTTGCCACCTCCTCCTATCCAAGTCTGGTGCTACTTGTCATGATGACGTGTGATCGAGCACTGGAGCTCCAAAAAGTGGGAAAAAGCTGCAAACGCTTCCACTCCTCCTTGTCTTCCACCGCTGTAGCGTCCCTTGCCTGGCACTCCGGGAGTGGGCCAGATATTCTCTTCAAAGGGCTGATCTAGACTAGGGCCCCCCTTTTTGGGGTCTGCAGAATGAGAAATGCTCCTTTGTTTAGGCAAGAAGAGCCCACAATTCAGGGCAACCCCACTTGCTGTCATGTTCATCAAACGTGGGAGCAGCACCACCGCCCTTCGACGCCCGACGGTCGGCACTGAGTCGTGAAGGGCTCATGTATTCCTACCCCAACTATGCTCTACAGGCAGCTCAGTCATTCTCGTCAGATGGAGGTTGACATGCTCTGAACACTCATGAAAATGCTGTAGCGCATGGTGGGGCGCTTCTAGCATGTGTATCTTCAAATTGCAAAGAGACACGCTTTGAGGGACAGGCTCAATCAAATCGTCCAGAGACATGCTGAGCTTGTCAACTTTCTCAACATTGCCTTGCAGCGGGAGGGTCTGCTGATGAGCTTTTGATGCACATGAACAGCTCCATGCCCTGCTACCCGCATCGACATTCAGCGCTCAACATAGCTTCGGCAGACAGTGACCCTACAGTATAGTACACCCCCGAAAATAAGGCCCTCAATCAGTCATTCTAAACCCTAAAGTCTAAACCCTAAACCCTAAACCCTCAACCCTAACCCTAAACCCTAAACCCTAAACCCTAAACCCACACCTTCAGCATACGCGTGTGGACTCTTGGGATGGGGAGCCTTCCTCGTCTTCCTTAGCGTCCTCTTTGCCCTCTTCGCCTTCAGCTTCGGCCTCTCCATCGCCTCGCTTTCAAAGTTCGAGTTTAAGGATTCAGGGTTTAGGGGTTAGGGTTTGGGGTTTAGGGTTTAGGGTTTAGGGTTTAGGGTTTAAGGGTTTAAGGGTTTAGGGTTTAGGGTTTAGGGCCCCCAAACGTTACGGAGGACGAAGACCTAGGCTCCAACTGTTGCGGGACGAATCATTGGGGTCAGCAGCAGATTCGGAAAATGAAACCGCGTGGCTTCGGAAACTGGAAAAATCGCGATACACGTCGGGAAACCGGAAAACGTAGATTCACATACACCAGAAAGTGCAAATTCGGAAAACGCGGATTCGGAAACCGCGGATTCGGGAAACTGAAAAGCACGGATTCGGAAAGATTCGGAAACCGCGGATTCGGGAAACTGGAAACCGCGGACTTGGGAAACCAAAAACCGCCGGAAACTGGAGAACGCCGATTCCGGAAACCACAGATTCGGGAATCGAAAAGCTTTCTGAAAAAAATTTTGACATGAACTTTATCATGCCCCCCACCCCCCCCACCACCACCCACCCCCTACCCCCTCGTAGTTTCCTGAATGGGGGTTTCCGAAATCCGGTGCAGCGCTCTGCGTCCACGAAGAGTGGGAGACCACGAAGGAGAGAATGCCCTTCGAGCCATTGTCCGCCTTCTTCCTTCACGCCTTCATCCATTCCATTCTCGTCCTTGGTGTCCATGGCCTGGTCTTCTGCTTCGTCTTTTGGCTCTTCGCCATCGGCCTGACAAACAGACAAACCCTCCTCTGCAAACTTTCCGCGTTTGGCCACGGAGGGAGGACCTCTGCAGCCTCCTCTGCAGGCGCCGTCTCGCCGGGACGGTCCTCGGTGTCATGATGCATAGAAAATGCTGCTGCGAATAACAGCATCAGTGAACTTGTATAAGCACAGTAACAAACTCTGGTAAACTGCACGCAACCGTGCTCGTCCTCCTCTTCCTGCCCCTCGTCGGGAGCGTCTTTGGCCTCACACAGTGCAAACTCCACTTCGCATCCACAAAACACGACTGTAAGGAATCTCATGTCTCAAGACGCATGCAAAGCGTGCAACTGCCAGAAACTAAAACGGCAGTTTACGACATTAGGGGGTACCTTATTGGGGTCCTTATTATAAGGGGATCCTACTACTCGGGGGTCTATTTTTAGGGGTCCCTCATTGTCGTAAACCCCAAAAAGAACTTTGAACTCCAACACTGGAGTGTTCGTGTCGGCACCAGCCTCTTCGGGAGTTGCTTCAGCGGGCGCCTCTAAGGAAGCAGTTTAGGGTTTAGGGTTTAGGGTTTGGGGTTTAGGGTTTAGGGTTTAGGGTTTAGGGTTTAGGGTTTAGGGTTTAGGGTTTAGGGTTTAGGGTTTAGGGTTTAGGGTTTAGGGTTTAGGGTTTAGGGTTTAGGGTTTAGGGTTTAGGAGTCAGGCGTGTCCCAGAGCTGCACTCGTAGCAACTGAGTCGGAAGCAGCTTCGGCTGGCGCCTCAGCGCCGCCCTGCAGGCAGAGAGGACGCTACGTAAACCTCGCCTTCCCTCCCGGGTTTAGGGTTTAAGGTTTAGGGTTTAGGGTTCAGGGTTTAGGGTTTAGGGTTTAGGGTTTAGGGTTTAGGGTTTAGGGTTTAGGGTTTAGGGTTTAGGGTTTAGGGTTTAGGGTTTAGGGTTTAGTGTTAGGGTTTAGGGTTTAGGGTTTAGGGTTTAGGGTTTAGGGTTTAGGGTTTAGGGTTTAGGGTTTAGGGTTTAGGGTTTAGGGTTTAGGGTTTAGGGTTTAGGGTTTAGGGTTTAGGGGGCCCGGGCCCTCGCACCTCAGCCGTGTCCATGGTGTCCTGACAGCAAAGAATATTGCACTGGAAAGACAAGAGAAGGAGAGGAACATATGAGTTCTTTTGTGGTCTTGTGGGGCAGCCGAAGGCAGTCGGTGCCTCGCCCATGTGGCCGAGCCCTGCTTTGTTTCGCAATGCACTGAGCCAAGAGGTACCAAGAGGTAAGGTCAGGCGGAGATATTAAAAGGGCACGACGAAAGAAACTTCAGTCCTACGAACGGCGTCACGCTGAGAAGGGTTCGATTATCCCTTGTTGAGTGGTGCTTGGTCAACACGCTGGTGTGAAGACTTGGTCTGGACTGACATTTTCCCGACTCGCGCTGCTTCACAGAGCTTGCTACGAGCGCTCCTCTATGAGCTCCTCTACGAGCTCAGGGAGGTCTCCACAAGAGGTAGCGCACAAGCTAGCAGGTGTTAGCAGTAGATGCTGGCAGGCCCATGGAAGCTCTCCATAAGTCTTCGCGCAGCATGCCACATAGCCTTCAGGCAAGGCAATGCGCTTGATGCGCACTTCAACATGGCGACGGGCACTATACGTAGTTGCACGATCTCGCACGCATTACACCCAGGTCTCAGCATGATTCTCTCAACTCTGAACATGCAAAGCATGCAAAGCATGCAAAAGCATGCAACGCCTCCACTTCGTTGTAAGACTCGTTCTTCCTGTCGACGTCATCCTAGGCCGAGAACGCCCACGATTCAAATGCAAAGCACCATCTGCTCAGCTCTCCCACCACATGCTCAGCCAAGAAGCTTTCGACGTAGCGGACTTGGCTGCGATGCGCTCATCCCGCTGCTTCAGGCTGGCTAGGTATTCGCCACTTGGCACCCTCAACTTGCTCAAGTCTCCTCACAGATGGACACATGGGTCTGAGACTCTTCGGAAGAAAGATCCCAGACGCCCCGCCTCCGACAGCAGCCATTGCCTTCACCTGCCATGTGCAGCTGAGGGTGACCATGTACCTCGGGATGAATGAGTCAACATCTTGCGTATGACTCTCGGCTGCAAGGGGCGCCGCAAAGGGTCAGCTGAACCGAGGGGCATGCGAAAGAAAGCCTCCTCCACTGAACCACCGGCTGTCAGGGGGCCGTGATTCTCAAGGAGCAGGACCTTGTTCTTTGGGCCGAGGTTGTTCGCCATTCCTGCCGTATGTGCTCCAACACATGAACCCGTTATGGTTATTGGCTTGAACGAAGCATTGAAAAACACAACAGAACGCTGTCGAATCTTTCAGGCAAGATGCTTTGTCGCTCATCCAGATCGACCGCACTCCCTTCAAAAGGGTGATAGGAAAATAGCCCCCATTGAGAGATTGCCTCCTGTGTCAGAGGCAAAAAGCCGGCGGTAGAGGTCACCACTGCCACTGTGTCGGCATGATGGCAATGCCAGACACAAGTGATGTCTGGACGGGCAGCGTGGACGGCCGAGTGCACCTGAAAAGTGATCAGATCGTCTTTGTCTGGCGAAGGACAACACATGTTGAAAGTTTCGTCGAAGAGACTCGAAAGCACCAAGGCTCGAACCACAAAGCCCTGCTTGAAAAGTGGCCCTTGGTTCGTGCCCTTGTCAACCACGTTACCATCCAGATCGACCTTCAACAGCGAGCTAGCCTCAGATGGAAACCACTCAATCATGTCATCTTCCACATACCGGCCGCTGATTGTCAGAATTGAGCTTGCTTGCCTGTCCAGGGAGCAGTGACCTCATCAAACCGTAAGCCGAAAGGGTTGATGAGAAAGTGAGGTCCATCAGACAAGAGATCGCTTTCCGGCACCTTCAGCGTGATGTGATTGAAGACAAGTTGATCCCAGCCGTAGTGGGCGGCCAGCCGATAAGCAACGGCCAGTTTGCAACGAGCTTCCCACCTGTCTGCACTTACACCCAGGAGGCTGCTAGATATCAAAATCGTTGAAAAAGCCATCATCATATTCCTATGCAGCCGAAAAGATCGGGAAGCAAAATCTTCGGTCATTGACTGAGCAACTCGACGGGGCTGAACTGCGTCTTCTGCCTCGGGGTGGTGTCCCGACGTGTGCGGTCACGACGCGCGAGACCAGCAGCTTCTGCAGGCAGGTCCAGTGGCGCGGCGACGGGGCGCGGCAAAAGATGCTGGGACAAGTGCTCTAAGCGGCGCATGCTTCAACTCCAGCTGTCCAGTCTTGGGCCCCAAACCGCTTCACTGCACAAAAAACCTTCTCTTTGATCTACGCAAAGCCATGCTAGCTGACTGCAAGCTGTAGCGACTTGCAGTAGCAGTTTCTGGCTCGGCGATGTCGAGAAAACTGTCGGCAAGTGATACCAACTATGTGGCTCAACCCTCAGGGTGAGCCATGCCGATGTGTATCAGGCTGCGAAAACTCATTGTCGGACAGTGAAGAGCGAAGAAACGGAAAATGGACGATGAGATCGATTCAAAATATCAGACGTTCCTGGTATCCAAGCCCAGTTTCACTCGGGCATCCACCTGGCATGTGGCAGTGCAGACATTGCCCGTGTGTCCCAACTCAACCATGCAATCCCAGGACCTCGGCTGTCAAAGATTTCCATTCTGGCACCTGAGCAGAAATTGGCAGCGGCAACTGAAGAATGGCCCCCCATGATCTCAGAATCGAAGAGAGCGTAATCATAGCTCCCAGGCTCGGGCTCCGAGAAATCGAGTGCCCACTCGCCCATTCTTCTTGATGATGATGGCCTGGCCTATGGCCTCAAGACGGCACCGGGAAGAGGGGGAAAAGGGCTTGGGAAATCGATACTCTGCAACCATAGGACCATAGGTGTACTCTCGATCGTTCCGGGTAGCAAAGAGAGCCACACGTAAGAGCAAGCTTGGATCTCATGTAGCTCTGAGCTGCCTCATCCAAGCCTTGACTTCGCACCTCCGCCACGCGAAGCACGAGGGCTTAGGATGATTTTAAGGCCTAAGGGCATCCTACTAGTGCCGTCTAGGGAGTTTAGAAGTACTGCAGATCTGGAACCCAGGCCTGTGCGAGCTGGATTTCAGAGAGCTGCGCCCAGTCTCCGTCCGGATCCTGGCAAGGAGACTGAGTGGAGATGAGTCGCAGGTGGTGCAGGAGGCTCCTTCCCAGGCAGAGCCACGAATCTCAAGTCTTTCGCAGCCTCCGCAAGGGAAGACCTGAAGTGAGCGAAGAATGCCCCACGATAACAAAGTGGCAGCTAAGGCAGCAAGCAAACCCGTTTTGTAGGTTCAGATCGCATCTTCTGCGGAGGAGTTGTAGAGCACAGGCACTAGCAGGAAGTCGCAGCGCGTCATCGCCTTGCTGGCCCAACACATTCACCATGGATCTGTTGATATCGTGCACCACAGCACCGCCTCCTGAACCTCCATGGCAGCGCTGATACAGTCTCGACCTGAATAGCAACAGCTGCAGCAGGAGCGGGTAGGATGGGCCAAAATCTGCCTCCGAAGGTCGAAAACATCGTAGACTACCATGCTCCAACGTGTTCTCCGCGCGGACCAGTTGTCGACACGCATGAGCTGTGCTCAAGGGCGGGCAGCGGCGGCAGCAGCCAGGAAGCTAAACATGTTCCTCATGTTCATGATGCTCGCCCCATCATGGGGACGCTTGCCATCATTCTGATGATGCTGGGTTGGTGGGCTTCTGGGGGGGGGGGCGGGGGGGTAGGTGCCCGCCGCCACACGGAGTCTCGAACAGGTAGCCCGTGTCCTCGGACCCTGTTTCACATCGAGCTGTCGAACGGGTCCTGTGTGGGGCGTGGCCCTTCAAGGAGCCGGGGCGAGCATCAGCATCGCCAGCATGCTCCCCAATTGGAGGCACTATCACTCTTGAGATTTTATAGCCCGCCTGGGCTTCACTGCGCAAAACGAGCATTTTCCGGGTGGGGGGGCCTGTTCTTTCTCTCTGTCACTCTACCTCCGACTTCCAGACACTGCCACAGCATTCGCTGAGGACAATGCAGAACTGGAGATTCCCAAGGCAAAGGACCTTGGTCACCGTCACCACGGCAATTCAGCCAGGAGAACCAGAAGTTCTCACTCAGAGTAGCTACATCAGCCGAGAACCGGACGGGCCGTCGTGACTTCATCTGACGCCCAACTCGGAGATCACTTAGCCGAGCTTCAACCACCTTCGTTCAATGCAGACTCAAAGATCTCCAGAGGAAGGTGGCTAGGGGCTGCTATGGGCATTCCATAGCATGCCTTGGCCTCCCCATCCATGGGGACTTGGATCGGAAGCCGAGCAATCAAGGCCCCCTCCTGCACACATCGACTTGGGACTTACGCACCATAAGCGAAGATATTAAACACATGCAGAATGGGCCCCTAAACATCCTTAAATCCCTACCAACCCTCGGAAAGTCCCCGGAGATTCTTTAAGGAACCCCCCAAAGGCCCTAGCCACCCTGCCTCCTTGGCCTGGGACCGCACGGAGTCTTGGTTCCACTCCTTCGCCAAGAGCTTTAGAGCCCTCTCGTGCTGATCTTAAGCTGCTAAGATGCTCCTGGTAGGTCAAGAAGCCACAGAAGACCATGGCTCCGAAGTTTACAGCGACGTCTTGCAAGACGCTCCTCCCCAGAGCTCTACTCGAAACTGTGCCAGCCTCTCGAAACTCGCAAACAGCTTGGCTGCTGGCGGCAAAGGGCTTGCCCGAGGAGCTCCGAACAGCGTCTGAGCTCCCGCATGGCACTCATGCGCACGCCATGGCATCCTATCGCAAGCTGCCACAAGCGGATTTTGAACAGTATCCTGAGGTTCCTGCCGCCAGCAGCCTGACAGAGCGCCAGATTCCGGCGCTGAGCCGATACACATGTCAACGTTCTTGCAAACATTTGCAAACTCTTCATTTCTCTGAGTCTCCTATGCTTGAATCAAAAAGGGACTCTACAGATTGGTGCTCTGCGTAGCCCGGCCTGGGAAGAATGAAGAGCAGGCCAACACCGGCACCGCCCTCGGGGAAGCGCAGTGATCCGAAGACTCTGTGTAAAGATGTGGCTCGGGCTCTGCGTGCAATGAGACACAGGATGATACACGAAGATGGGATGAGCCGGCTCAGAAACTTTTGCTGTGAGATTTCAATCCGTGCTGGCACTGGTGGCATCAGAGATGGCGCTGCAGGTCAGCCTTGAGGGGACAAAGAAGGCACATGGAAGCTGGACCTTTTTGCTTGGGCCCTCGTTCTGTTTCACCATGAGTCATGAAACCTTCAAACTCTCAAAAGTAGGTGGATAATCTACAACAATTTCCACAAAGCTGGCTTAGAAAGATGTCCAAATCACTCAGTCAAAGTCGGGCAAAGGCAGAGCGGCAAAGGCCGAGGTACACGAAGTAAGGAATGGTCCCTTCCGTGCCCGGCTGCGGAAATGGAGGCTGCTTGGGGTCGTTCTCCATGAAGAGGGGCCCGTATGTCTCCTAAGGCAAAGGCTTCCGAATGCCCCTCCCTGATCAATCCGAAGCACTTTGTGCATATTGTGCCTGCTCATCGCAAGACCAGCCGGGTCCGAGGTCATAGGCCTGGCTACTTAGCAAAGCTCAAGCTCCCAGCTCGGTACACCAGGCGTGCCACCCAGGCCTCTGAATGCGGCTGACGTGCATCCGAATCCTCCTCTTCCTCCCGGCCGGCTGTATCTTACGACGACGGCATGACAATAAATGACACACGTCGCCATAGTGGTGTCGTCACCACTGCTGGGCATTGACAGGGCAACAATGATGCAAGGAAGCCTCGTCACCATCCGACAGAGAATCCTGCTGAACAGCAGAATGCAGCATCTTGCACGTGCAGGGCATCCAAACCGGCCAGGCAACTTGACCGGCCCAAAGCCGCCGCTGCGACACCACAAGCCTCTCAAAGCTTTCGACGCGTTCGCCAATCCGCTCAGACCTCCCAGACCTCCCAGACTCCAAGTGTCCAGCAATCGGCCACTTGCGACGAGCACTCGCCGCACCTCCTGCAGCTAGTGCCATCCAACATGGGGCCAACAGAGGTGGAGTGCCACTTCAGCAACACTCCTGAAAGTATTGTCGCCGGGCTGCAACTGTTCCGAGGCAGTCAGACAAACCTTGTCAGCAGCAAAGGTGCACGGCAGTATGCTCATGGACAGTGGCAACACTTCATGTTCAACGCCTTTGTCAATGGCAGCAACAAAGAAGCCGTCATCGAAGTCTGACATGTTCCTGACACTGTTCAGCAGCACGTGCCCAGAGTGGAAGCATCTGCAGCCCCGAAGGACGGAGCAGTTGCCACCTGGCATCCATTGTTAGGAAGGTAAGCTTGGGGAATCGTTGTCTCATCCTCTCCTGAGATCTGCAGGGCTTGCCCAGCAGTAGCATGGAGAGCAAGCCAGGAACACAAGTCACCGGTTGCAGGGAGTGTCCGTCACCTCCGCGGAGAAATCAATGCTAAAGACCTCAGGACCCCCGAATCGCGCTTTTTGCAGATCACAGATCCAGGCCTGCAAGTCTTGATTCTGGAGGGCCTTCACAGCTGCACTGCGATGGGATGCGATGGGATGCGATGGGTCTGCGCAGCAAGTGTTAGGGCCGGCCTTGTCCGAAGCCAGCTCAGCACTTAGAGCAGAGTCACCACTTCCCAAGACAAGCAGCCTCTGAAAGCTGTGCCGTGGTGTGCAGAGACGGATCAAAGTACCCTCAAACCTTAAACCCTAAACTCCAAACCCTAAACCCGAAACCCTAAACATCCCTAAACCCTAAACTTCAAAAAACCCTTGGCCTCACAGCGCCGGTCACACGTTGCGAATGTTGCAGCGGCTCAAGCAGTTCCATCAAGGAGCTGCGCAGTTGCTGGTAGCCTCCGCGTTCGGCTTTAAAGCGAGAGCCAAAAAAGCACCTCACTCCCGTAAGCTCCCGGCCGAGGCCGTACCATTCATAGAGGGCCCGCCCATGCTCACCCTGCAGTTTGTAAACTTGATCCCAGTAGTCCGGCTGGTCGGCCTGAACCAAAAAAACAACGGAGCAAATGCAAAAGAATAGCTCGACTGGACTCTGCTTCAGCGTCATTCTGCGCCATGCTGCTGCTGGATATTCCCCGCGGCCGTGCAGGCAGAGAAGCCCGAAGAGCAGGCTCGACCATTGCATCGGGATTTTAAGAAGAAAGGAGTCTCAGGAGTTGACTTGAGGCCTCATTGGCCATCTTGTTAACCCCCAGGGAACAGACACTACACACCTGTTTCTTTTTATCTGTCTTATTGCTACGCACAGGTCTGTTCTTTGTGCATCTTGCTGTTTCAGCTCTCAGTGACAAGGCCTGCAGGCGCAGAAGCGGACACGCACAAGCCGACAGAAACCGTGTGCCGATTGAGAGGATGTTCTCAGCACCCAGCGGTCAAGAATCCAAACAAGGCAACTTTGACCTGCAAAAGAACCACATTTAGGGTTTAGGGTTTAGGGTTTAGGGTTTAGGGTTTAGGGTTTAGGGTTTAGGGTTTAGGGTTGACCACTGTAAGCCATGCAGTCGTCTTTTGTCGCAATGCCTTGGCAAAGGGATCCTCGGTCTCTGCCTGCACCATCGCTGCAGCTCAAGCATGGGTCAAGCGAGGACATCCGAGCCCCCCGGCGCGTAGCTTGTCGTTACTAAACTTCTGCTCCGCCGGAAGTGCCCGGGGTGGCCTCAGCTTGCAGTGTGTGCAATCATCCACGGATATCCACGGTGCATGCAGCAAGAAGGACCCAGACGTGACGCCAACTCTGGGGCCTGGATGGCAGTGTCACTACAGCAAATCATTTGCTGGTAGCGACTTCACAGCAACGCACCTCCGGACATGCCAGACGAGCTGACGAAAGAGCTTGGACACCTTGCTCACCAATCGCCGCACGTGAACCACACATGGCACACAACTTCCGATTGGCTGCGGATGCCAAAGGCACCGGCAAGCATGCCAACAGGACAAGAAGGCCGATGCACCTGGCACGCACAAAATCAGGTGCATCCCCTTTGCTGAGCATGATGCTTTTGCCAAGTCAAGACAGGCACGAATTGGCCTTCCCGCTGCAGCTGAAGTGGTAAGCACAGCATTGGGACGGCGGGAGCGCCACATGATGCTGGCAAGTTGCTATTTTCAAAGCATGCAGGATGCCTCAAACTCAGGTTGATCATACAGCACGAGTCAAGTTGTTGTTTTTGCTGTGTGTTGTGGCGACTGCGCCTTCTTGAGCAGACATTGCCAAAGAGGAGCATGACTTGAAGTCTGCGTGCTGCTCCAAGCTTCAACGCAAAAGTAGCCCTGGAGCGACCGTCAACACCGACAAGCTTGTATACAAGTTGTATTTCTGATTCACTGGAACCCCGACCGAACACAGCCACTATACGAAAGACGCACGCAAAACTGGAAATTCTCCTTCGTGGGTCAGAGGGAAGGTTCACTTATGTAAAGTAGGGCAATGTTCATTCCAACTAAGATAGAGCTACCGTGTGCCTGCAAAGTATCACAATGAGCTGGAATTCTAGTTGTGTAAATGTCCACATGCTTAAGGAAGGGAGTCAAAGCGCATGTTGGGCCACTGTCAGGAATGAATCGGCCCAACGGGCCCGAGGTCTACCCTATTGGAGCCAACAGACACTGGCTTTCAACGGAGTCAGGGTGATGGAGAGTATGCCCCCCCCCCCCCCCCCAAGAAATTGAGAAACTCAATCAGTCCCGGGTCCCCACACGGAGTTCCCACACGGCGCAACGCGGCCACTCCAAGAAGTCACTCTCAACATACTGCTGGTTGGCAGGCGGGGCTCGCAATTTTCAAGCTCGCGTCAAGCTCCGCGAGGCGCGGGCCGGCACAGGCTACCTTTCAAGGCCCTACGAACTGCGTCGCTCTGCATTCGCCATCAAGTGGAACACCCACATCCTGAATGCCAGTACTGGTCCTGGTGGTCCATCGCTAGCATGTTGCTGAGCTACTTCGGCGAATGCAGAGACATGCACGGGAAGCTAGGTAGCGGGCGGCCGGACAAGGTAAAAATGTGAAGCTGAGAAGATGTCATGATAAAGAGGAAACGTCTTGAGACGTGAAGACGAAGACCTGTACATGTGAAGATGAAGGTACGACAAGGTGAAACTGAGAACAAGAAGATGCGAAGATTTTGACTGTGAAGGAAGATGTCTAGATGCAAAGAAGCAGCATGTTGTTAAAGGCACCAGATCTGCAGGTACACGGCACGGCAGCGCCATGGGACCATTAGAAAGTCGTGGTGCCAGTAAAAGAGCTTGGGATTTTCTGAAAACTCGACATTCCGTGCTTACAAAGCTTCGACCACAAAATCTATGCACAATGCAGTCGGAGATCAGCATCTTAAACAAATACTTCATTAAAGGGGCATCCCTGTGGGATCGCGAAAAGTGTGCCGGGGCCTGGAAAATCAAGAAAAAGACATCAAACACGAACAGCCTCAAAGGCTCACGGTGGTCATCGCCATGTCGTGCAGCAGTCGTTGAATGCTGTCAGTTCGGGCTAGTTGCACCACTGAGTGTCCGCGGTTGTTGCCTCGGCCCGATTCCATCGGCAGCCCACCATCCCCGATCCCGATTGTGATGCCCTACTAAGCTCTGTTTCAGCCACTCCGAAACCATGACAACCTCTAAGCCTATACGTGTCATACACTTGTCATATACTATAAGAAACACATACAACTGCGCACAAAAACTTACATACACGCACATACAGTACATGAACATAAATGTACACGTTTACGTCGAACTGTACCCATCTTTGCCAAGTGGCAAATATCCGGGTCGGCCATTGCTGCAAGCAGCATGGTCGCCAAGTGTTCCCGACCCATCAAACATGCGAAGCCCAATGGTGTCGTAGAAATTTCCGCGAAGATCTTCTCCAACAAGGACTGCATCCTCCTGCAGGAGGCCGGTGTAACGACTTAGCAAAAGTCTATACTTGGAGATTCGTGTGATATGATATGCGACGTGTAGAGTGCTGCGAGAGCTGTCACGCATTCTACAAGTGAGCACAAGATGAAGATACCGTCGACCCCTGCGAATCTTCGTTGCCGCTCCAGGAGGAGGTCGCACGACAGGCCAACTCGAAGAGCTTCAAGGCGCCGCTGGGCTCAGCTCGCAAGTTCACGTCGGCTTTGGAGAGCAGAAGAAGTTTCACCTGCTCTTCCAAGTGCGGATTGCCATCCGCAGGCACCGCCAAGCAGACCAAGGGTGGGGCAGCTCCGCCATAGCCCTGGTCATTGACATCGGCCTGAGATTCAATAAGCAGTTTCATCACAGGCGTAGGCGAGCAGTAGAGACATGCCACTGCCAGCGGCGTCAGGCCACAAGGTGCAGCCGAGTAGTTCACGCCAGCCCGTGCTTCTAACAAGATGCGAACAGCTTGGGTACTTCGTGAATAGCCCAAGGGTGACATGCCCAAGAAGTTGCAGATGTTGGGGTCGCAATTTCGCAAGAGCTCCGTGAAGATCTCCGCGTCCTTGACGTGGCTCGCGGCCAAGTGCAGTGCTGTGCGGCCCTTCGTGAGCCCCACCTCCCAAAAGGACCGAGACCATAACACACATGCATAAGACACGCAGAGGTTAAGCACAAACAGAAGCTCTTCTTGAAAAGCTGTCTTGCAAAAGCATATGCCACGCTTTATGACATATGCATACTAATCAACATGGTATTTGCATACATGCTTACAAACATCTTCTACCCCAAAGATAAACAGTGATAAACAGCTTGTTTCTTTTTTTGCTGCGCCTCGGCCACGCCGGGCTGATGCATGGTGGCCTGGGACACCAAGCGCCGCACCTGAGCCCGGTCCTCCGCCAGGACGGCGCACGCACAGGCCGTGAAGCCCGAGGAGCAAGGCGCAGTCGTAGCGGTCGTAGCGAGAGCGAAACGAGACGCGAAGGCCTCAGAGCCCAGCTGCGAAGGGCTCTCACCCAGCAGCTGGTGACGCACCGCCTCCAAGTAGCGGAGAAGATCCTGCAAAAAATGGAGAGAAAAAAAACATGCCAAGCAGCTTCAGGACCCTGTCTTCATCTAAACCCTTCTGTTAAAGTTTCTTGCTGTCTCCTGGTTTTGTCCGCTGCTGTGCAGGAACTGCAACTTGGAGTCCAGCGCTTGCTGCATGACCTTCGTGACCTTCTGGCGGTCTGCCTCCACTGCGAAGTTCCCCGTGTGGGGAGAGCCGTAGACCCAGTGGATGGGCATGGCGAACTCCGCATGGTCGCTGCTACGGATCAAGATCATGGGAGTATCCGACTTGCGCGACAAGAGGTTGCACCAGATCTCCAACGAACACCATCCGCGTTGAAGCCAGGTGCAATAGTTGCACTCCTCATCTAGATCATTGTGCTTCAAGGTAGGAGCTAAAGCGATGAAGAGCTGACATGACTCAACGTAGAAGGGGATCGACTGGACTGCCAAGAAGACATCATCTCTCATTTCTTCGCTGCCTTGCTTGCTGTCAATCTTCGGAATTGAGAACCAATCAAACCAGATATAGGCCTCGCTGAGACTTGCTCGGTTTGCTGCGGAAAGCACCTGAGTCTCACCCAGGAACTGCATCGGCAGATCCATCTCGATTTGCAGCCGACCACCTAACAAGTTCTCCAAAGCCCTTTGCAGCACCTTGAACTGACTGCCTTTCTGATCCGGATGATGCTTCCCAAGCCACTGGTGTGAGACAAATATGGTGAGGAAGGAAGGCTCCCACTCCACGATGAGCCCAGCCTCCTTGAGCTGCTGATGATCAGGAGGCGCTCCGTATGGCGCTATGCCTTTCATCTTCAAAATCTCGGAGATATGTACCACCCACATGGGCGCCAGCTGTTGGTGGCCTTCCATGATGGCTTAAGGGCCCTAAGCCCTAAATCAGGGCCCCCCGGTTTTTGTGGGCCCTTTGATCCTCAACGTGGCTCCGTCACCAATTTTCGAAGACCAACCTTGCACTTCTTCGCCAGCCTTGCTCCGAAGCTCCTAAAACACTCGCATGCAAAAACCCTCGTGAGCGACCCTCTGAGTTCCGTTCGTGATCGGAGACCTGTCGACACAAGACTTTCAGCTGCCTGGACTCTATGTCTCGACACCCGGAACAAAACTCTCACCTCAGGATCCTGCAACTAAATCTTGGGCGCGCTTCGCAAGCACAGCCTGACCCTCTTACTTGGATGAAAACAACTCCAGAGCAACACATGGCTTTCCTTCAGATGGTGTGTCTCTTCGCAAAATTTTTGACTGACACATCACGACCGGCACGTTGAGCTTCAACGGCCTTGGCCATGTCTTTTGCCTGTTGGGATGATTTTGACACTGGGCGGCAAGATTCTCAAAAACCGCTTGCAAAAGTCTGCGCAACAGATACGTCCTAGATTGTTCTGGATGGATGGATGGATGGATGGATTGGATTTAGTTCAAGGTTGTCCGAGAAACGTTTACGGCCAATACCATGACGTGAAGATTCCTGCGGAGGGCCCCACGGGGCCGAGAGCTTCGCAGTGAACAAATTGGGGTGCCCAATTGGAAGTTTGGACCAACTTGAGTACGGCCAGCTGTGACTGCAACACCCAAAAAATCAAACAAAGTTGAGAACCAACTGCCATGGCTGGGCGAAATGTCCCGGACCAAGAGGGACGTCGAATAATTTAGGCCAAGCTCAGACGAGACCCAAAACTCCGGCCAAGCACTGCTCGCTCACGTGCCTGTGACACATTGGACAGGATGGCAAGCAAACCCGTGTGCAAATGCAGGAGAAAGAGCCCTTGATGCAAATCTCCGCGTCAAGCTACTATTGAAGGTAAAGGCGGTGGGCAAAGAGCACCCCACCCCCATTCACGTGCCATTGTATTGGCACGAGTTGATATCGATGCTTGCACGGGAGGGCGGACCCAGGAAGGGAAGGGACGGGAAGGAAAGGGAAGGAAAGGGAAGGGAAGGGAAGGGAAGAAAGGAAAGGAAATGAAAGGAAATAGAAGGAAGGGAAAGGAAAGGAAAGGAAAGGAAAGCAAAGGAAAAGAAAGGAAAGACCGACCGAAAACAGAGCCCTTTCCTTTCCCTTCTGTCTGTTTGTCTGTCTGTCCTGTTCTTCCGCGTATCTCTCCAGCGCAGGCCTCTCTTTTTTCGGAGAACGCAAAGGTTTCCCTAATCAAAACATAGACAAAATACAGAATTTCCTCTTAAAATACAATAAAATGAAGGCTTTCCTGCTAGACATCGGGGCTTTCCTACCCCCCGACCGGCGGAGGTATTCTTTTTTTCCAAGTTTGACTCTCCTTGTCTGGCTGGACACTTCGGCGGTTCACAGATTTGAAATTCTGTAGTTTGAAGTGTTTTCCGCATTTCGAGCTCCTGGACAACTATAAACAGCGTGCCAAATCTAAATTACCGTGGAAAGATACTTTCCCTGCTTGGCAGTTCGCTAATTTTTAACACTGTAAATAGCAATGTTCTCCGCATTTCCAAGTCCTGGGAAATTACATTGAATCTGAAAAACTACATATCCTAGCAATTGCAGTAATCAGTAGTCACGTGCTTGAAAAACTGTGATTTGCAGCGTTGTCCATTTCCAGCTTTACGGTAGTAAAATTGAAAACATCAAATCTTAGCAAGTGCAGCACTTATGGGTTTTACAATGCCTCTGCATTTCAAACTCCTGTACACTGACGACAACGGGACACAAACCTGCAATGCACACCATTTATGTACGTTAGCCCACTTGACAGCATTCCAAATCCTAGCAATCACAGTATTGACCGGCGGCGTGAATTTACAAAGTGTATCTTGCCATTTTTTCCGCGTTCCGAGCTCCTGGGTAGCTACAACACGTGCGCAAACAAAACAAATCGCAGCGCTTGTAGCCCAGCGTATTAATAACCATAGGAAGATGATAAGATAGCAAGAGAATGTTAAAATTCGTATATGTTATATATATATATGTGGCATGGACCTTTATGTATTATTTGACGTTCTCTCTTGTTTTGTATTTAAAAACCTATAAACAAACTAAATCCAAGAAACCTGAAGCACAAATTCACCAATTCGTTCTCTTAGGGTTTGGGGCTTACGATTTATAATTTACTCTTTTTTTTTATGTGAACGTACGGACGCAGTCAGATGTTGGCAACGAATACTAGCTATCACTTCTGCTCTTGCGTGGGGGATGATCCAAGCGGTCTCTCGGGTCGAGCTGCGCACCGTTGTGCGCACATTGAAGTGTCCTGTCAGCTGTCGTGCCCAATTGTTGCTTGGTGTGGATCGGCAAAGATCACTGCTACTGAAAGAGGCATCTTCTCATGAAGATGCCCTAACTCTTTCAAGACATCTACATTATCATTCAACGCGTACAGACGTCGGTTCGACAACCTGTAAAACTTCGTACTCTTCTTCACAAGCTGAAGTGGACGCGAGTCCTGCTGTGCCCTGAACCGTCTCGTGCAGAAAACACCCCCGCAGAAAATCACTGCCTTTACCGCAAGCATTGGAATCATACAACCGCACAACCCGCTACAGTCCACCTCCGCCACGGACGCACCCATGACCGCAGAAGCCACTGCCCCGCCGATAAGGAGCCGACCAAAAAAAAGCAACGACGGCACCCATTGCAAAAGACCTGCGAAAACGTCTCGCGTAATCAGTGACCATCATACAACAATCGGTGAACACACTATTTTTGCGGGCAACCAATAGCAACTGGTCGACCAAGCCGATGCCTGAAGACGGCACGGCTGCGGCGCCTCGGAGCTTGTCTTCCTGACTCGGGAAACTGCTGCGGCCGACGCCAAGTCTCGCCAGCTGTCGTGCACAATTGTTGCTTGGTGTGTGTCGACAAAGATCACTGCTACTGAAAGAGGCTTCTTCTCATGAAGATGCCCTAACTCTTTCAAGACATCTACATTATCATTCAACGCGTACAGATGTCGGTTCGACAATCTGTCGAACTTCGTACTCTTCTTCACAAACTGAAGTGGACGCGAGTCCTGCAGTGCCCTGAACCGTCTCGTGCAGAAAACACTCCCGCAGAAAATCACTTTGAGACACATGCCTTTACCGCAAGCATTGGAATCATGCAGCCGCACAACCCGCTACAGTCCACCTCCGCCACGGACACTCCCATGACCGCAGAAGCCACTGCCCCGCCGAGAAGGAGCCAACAAAAAAAAGCAACGACAGCACCCATTGCAAAAGACCCGCGAAAACTTCTCGGATAATCAGTGACCATCATACAACAATCGGTGAACAATCTTAAGACACTAACTTTGTGGACAACAAATAGCAACTCGTTGACCAAGCCGATGCCTGAAAACGGCACGGCTCCAGCGCCTCGAAGCTTGTCTTCCTCACTGTGTGTTTTTGAGATTTAAAGGAGAACAAGAGAAGAGAAGGGAGAGAGAAAGGAGAGAGGAGAGATCAACAGGAATGCAACTCTAAATGGAAGAGCAATGAAAAGAATGGAAGAGAAATGAGGACAAGCGAAATGCAAAAATCAGGCAAAGAGAAGATGGTGCTCGTTTTCATCTTTCCTCTGGTTCTTATTTTTCTCTTCTCTTGTTCATTTCCGTTAGAAAAAACAAAAGGAATAACAATGAACATGTAAGCAAACCCAGCTGATGCTCATGATTTTTCCTGTCTCCCTCTCTCTCTCTCTCTCCATATATGGGCGATGGAACGGGTGTCCTTGTTGGGCCGTTTCCTGCATCTTCAAGTGAGGAACCTAAGTGTTTTCTTTTGTTCGTTTGAAGACACAGAAAGCGATTAAAAGGGACGTCCATTTTGGATTGGCAGCCAACCCAGCTGATGCTCATGATTTTTTTTTCTCTCTCTCTCTCTATATATATGGGCGATGGAATGGGTGTCCTTTTTGATCGTTTTCTGCATCTTCAAGCGAGGAAAAGGGACACCCCACAAGAAAGCACTTAGGGTGTCTCTTTTGCTCGTTTGAAGACACAGAAAGCGATTAAAAGGGACGCCCGTTTTGGATTGGCAGCCAACCCAGCTGATGCTCATGATTTCTCTCTCTCTCTCTCTCTCTCTCTCTCTCTCTCTCTCTCTCTCTCTCTCTCTCTCTCTCTCTCTCTCTCTCTCTCTCTCTCTATATATATATATATATGGGCGATGGAATGGGTGTCCTTTTTGATCGTTTTCTGCATCTCCAAGCGAGGAAAAGGGACACCCCACAAGAAAGCACTTAGGGTGTCCCTTTTGCTCGTTTGAAGACACAGAAAGCGATTAAAAGGGACGCCCGTTTTGGATTGGCAGCCAACCCAGCTGATGCTCATGATTTCTCTCTCTCTCTCTCTCTCTCTCTCTCTCTCTCTCTCTCCCTCTCTCTCTCCCTATATATGGGCGATGGAACAGGTGTCCTTTTAGATCGTTTTCTGCATCTTCAAGCGAAGAAAAGGGACACCACAAGAAAACACTTAGGGTGCCCCTTTTGCTCGTTTGAAGACACAGCAAGCGATTAAAAGGGGCGCCCATTTTGGATTGGCAGCAAACCCAGCTGATGCTCATGATTTATCTCTCTCCCCATATAAGGGCGATGGAACGGGTGTCCTTTTTGGATCGTTTTCTGCATCTTCAAGCGAAGAAAAGGGACACCACAAGAAAACACTTAGTAAGGGTGCCCCTTTTGCTCGTTTCAAGACACAGAAAGCGATTAAAAGGGACGCCCATTTTGGTTCGGCAGCAAACCCAGCTGATGCTCATGATTTATCTCTGTCTATATATGGGCGATGGAACGGGTGTCCTTCCTGATCGTTTTCTGCATCTTCAAGGGAGAAGGAAGGGCACCGCCCAAGAAGGAAAAGTAACATCAGATATAGGGAGGGAAATTGAAAGAGCTCCTCTCTTTA